CCTGGGGAGGCACATCCCCCCAATTAACCAGTGAAAAGTTGGAAGTAGAGGCGTGGCTCAAGTAGTAGAGTGCCAGCCTTCAGTGAAAAAGCTTAGGGAGGGTGCTTAGGCCCTGAGTTCAAGCCCCCGTGCCAGAAAAATGAAAAAGAAAGAAAAGAAAGGTAGACAAGAGATAAAGCCACACTGTCAACCCTGCAGTGTTGACATGGTTCCCAGTTTTTGTTTTTGTTTTTTGTCAGTTGTGGGGCTTGAACTCAGGGCCTGGCCACTGTCCTTGAGCCTCTTTGTGCTCAAGGCTAGCGCCCGACCACTTGAGCCACAGCGGCACGTCTGGTTTTTGAGTGATTAATTGGAGAGCAGAGTCTCACGGGGACTTTTCTGCCAGGGCTCACTTCGAACTGCTAGCCTGGGATCTCAGCCTCCTGAGTGGCTAGGATTACAGGCCTGAGCCACCAGCGCCCGGCATGATACCAGTTTTTGATCTACAAAGATGGGAGGCGGGAGGAGGCGCACCAATGGGGGCAAGACACCAAGGTTGGGAGACAGAAGTACATGCGCACTGTTGGGAGGGCTTGGTGTCTGGGTTGCTCGTGGAAGCTGCGATGGACAGGGGCAGGGACTTTCGGGTGAGTGGTCATGAGGCCGCGGGAAGATGGTCACTGTTCATCTAGGCTGTTCTCCCACCGCAGCCCAAGGGGATCAGAGTGTGCTGGGAAGGCAGGATGCCCGTTCCAGTCCTGGCCTGGCTCCTGCTTCCCTGTGGGGCTGGAGCAAGTCTTGGCCTTCCCGGGCCGCAGCGCCCACCTAGACAGTCAGACCTTGGAGTTCTGCATTCCTAGAAATGTAAAGTGACAGCCTTCAGGGCCTGGCAGGGAGCAGAGGGGAGGCTGGGCAAGAAACAAAAGGACAAGTAAGATGGTCTTCACCCTGCTCAAGTCCTCCCAGGAAAGGAACGTGACTGCCTGAAGTGTTCCACGCACCTTCTCTGAGGAGGGGATGTGTGCATGCAACCCATGGTGTTAGGGAGGGGGATGGCGGAGGGGGAGGGGACAGTAAGGGGGAGGGGAAGTGAGGGAGGGGGCAGGCTAGTCCAGGGAACTGTGTTCCAGGAGACATGGCTGCTGTGGATGCCTGTAGTATCAGCATCCAGTGTGACATTGTGTGTGTGTCCCAGTCCTGGTGCTTGACCTCAGGGCCTGGCTGCTGTCCCTGAGCCTTTCCCACAAAGATTAGCGCTCTCCCACTTGAACCACAGCGCTATTTAAGAGGGGTCTTTTTTTTGGTGGTTCATTGGAGATAAGTTATGGGCTATTCTTCCCAGTCTGGCTTTGGACTATGATCCTCAGGACTCAGCCTCCTGAGTAGCTAAGATTACAGGTGTGAGCACGGCAAATGCACATCAGTTTTGAGTGAGAATGGAAAGAAATAAACGCAGGGTATTCACTGGTATGTGGTGTGGAGACGTTGCCACCTGGCAGGTAAAGTGTTGGTGGTCACACAGCAGAACACCGTTACAAGGACTAGGTAGATTCACATGCACAGGGAGAGAATGCTTTCTGGAGCATTAATATTAAGTGAGAGAAGCCAAGTTGGAGGATGGAGAGTTGATCTCAAATCACGCAGAGTGAAAAGTGTTGCCCTGGGGCGGTACCATGGATGTGCTCTCACCAATCCAGAAAGTGAACAATAAATGCCTCCTCCAATCAGGAGCAAAGGATGGAGTGAGGGGCGGGACAGAAGGACAGAAGTGTTACTGTAATGCCATTCCCTCCATACAGAAACGGGGAGTGGAGAATAAGTGTTCCTCTTACAAATATCTCTGGAAGGGTGCACAGGGAACCTATTATAAGTGGGGTTGCCACTGGCGCTGGTGGCTCATGCCTTTTATCCTAGCTACTTAGGAGGCTGAGATCTGAGGATCACAGTTTGAAGCCAGCCCAGGCAGAAAGTTCCACAAGACTCTCATCTCCAATAAACTACTGTGCTGTGGCTCAAGCGGTAGAGTGCTAGTTGAGCAAAAAGAAGCTCAGGGACCGTACCTAGGCCCTGAGTTCAAGGCCTAGAACCAGTAGGGGGGAAAGGCAGGGGGGGTTGCCCCTAATAAATGGACTGGGAGACTGGCATGAAAGAAAGGAGATTTGTATAGCAATTCAGGAGCACAGGATCATTTGATTCCCTTCTAAAGATGTATGGCATTGGCTGGGCACCTGTGGCTCACACTTGTAATCCTAGCTACTCAGGAGGCTGAGATCTGAGGATTGCGGTTCAAAGCCAGCCTGGTCAGGAAAGTCTGTGAGACTCTTATCTCCAATAAACCACCAGAAAACTGGAAGTGGCGCTGTGGCTCAAGTGATAGAGCCCTAACCTTGAGCTGAAGAGCTGAGGGACATTGCCCAAGCCCAGAGTTCAAGCCTCGTGACCGGCAAAAACAAAAACAAAAACAAGATGTATGGCATTTCCTCTACTTACAGATAATTTCCTCCTGCCGGTAGGGTCACTAGCAGTATCTTTGGATCACACGTTCTAGCACTGCTTACCCTGTTTTTTGTTTTTCAACTGGGTATCTAAATAGATGACCTCTACTTCTCTCTTCCCCAAGTTCAAAACAAAATTCCTAGCTACCTTTGTCTGCCTCCAGTCCTTTGTCTTACGCCAGGCACAAGGCCTTACTTGGTCCACTCTTCCTTTTCTGCACGAGCCTTACTCCGCTGTCTGGATTTCCAGTTGCAATCACTTCCTGGGGCTAAAGCAGTGAGCCACTTTCTCAAGACTTTTGTGAATGCTGAAATCCACCTCTTTATTTACATAGGATGCTTCTTAAATGACTGACTCCAAAACTTCGATACATTCGTTTGAAAAGGCTATTTTATGTCACGCCAATAAATGGCATTAACTTACCGTAAAAAGAAAGTACCAGGTAAGTATAATAAACCCAGAACAATGTTATTAAATTCCAGCTACGACTCGACGCATGGTTTGGCAGCTGCCTAAGTAGCACAAGGTCCTGAGTTCAAACCCCAGTGCTGAGCAAGATAAATTGAGGAAAAAGAGGCCTGGTCAGGAAATCAGTGGTATTTAGAAACACAGAAGTACTATCTTTGCTTCAACGGGAGACAACAGGATGCATTCCTCCTTGAGAGATGTGTTTCTCATCCCAGGAATGAACATTTATCTGGCAGGATGTATGCCTTCCTGAGACAGAAATGCTACCCCCAAACTTAAGCAAACACTTACCCAAAATGCAGATAACAGGGGCCTGTCCTTATCTCAAGGATAAAGATCTGTTTTATGGCAGGATGCATTCTTACCTGGAAAGAATGCCCCCAAACATCCAGAACCGTAGAAAGTAACACTAGGAGTGATTAGAACAAAGATTAGGGGTTGGGGGCTTAGCTCAGTGGAAGAGCAGCTCTGCGGGGGGGGGGGGGGGGGGGAGCAAAGATAATACATCTACCCTTGCTTAACTTTGAAGTCGGACCCCCTGCCTTTACCCTCTAAATTCCCCTACCAGCCAAGGATCTGGGTGTCTCTATCTCACCCCAAGAGATCACCCACACACTGTTAGAGTGCCCCTTCTCCCTTCTGCTTGTCAGTTTGCCTGCTTACTTACTCAAGCTCCGTCAAGCTTTTTTTTATCACAGTGACTTGTGCAGAAATTCTCATCCTGCGATCGAAGCCAGGGACCGACCCTAAGAGTTCCTACATTTAGAGGGAAGCTTTACAAACCTTCACCTGCTTCTGGTGACAGTTTCAAGAGAAAACAACTCTATGTGCAATCTAGGGCTTAACCGAGCTCTACCTCTTCTTAACTGAGCTCTACCTCTTCTTTTTGTGTGCACGTGTAGAGCAAGGCTGGTGTTAGCCACTGACCAGCACCTAGCGGTGGCTTCTTTAGTTCCTCAGAAGGCTTGAGAGGGGCTGCGCTCACTGGGTGAGCCAATGTTATTTAATGCCTTGTAATCTCTGCCTGCGATGCTTCCTAGAGAGGTTTGGTTTTGTGTCCAGGGCACCGGTGTCCTGTGATGCGAAGCCCCGGTCTTCCTGCCGTCGGGGGCCTGATGAACTTGGCCCTTTGGCATTCCGGCGGGCACTGAGGCACGGTGGCATTTCACTGTGGTTTGTGAGCCGCCTTTCAAGGGGGCAGCGAGGCAAGCGTTTGGAGGCGCAATCCCAATGGAGAGTGACGCAGGCCGGCACAAAGGGGAGCTTGTGCTGGGGAAGGAATTGGAAGAATCTCTGGACCGGGAAGAATCACTGGGTGGCTGTCAGGGGTGATGCATGGAATCGCCTCAGGGAACCTCCCCGACCGAATTCCCCAGCCACACGGCTCCTGGGATGCGTCCCTGGGCTCTAGGAGTGGCTCCTTGGCAAGCCAGGCTCCATCCATCCCACCAGGGAACCGTGGAGGGAAAGGGAAGGGAGGAGAAGGGGTGGAGGCTTTGTGCAAGGTGGTCAGACATTTTACAGCACCAGTGGTCAAGACACTTCAATAAATGCATTGTCGGGGAAAAAACAAAGCCGAGCCAAAGGCTGGTGGCTCACGCCTGTCATCCTAGCTACTCAGGAGGCTGAGATCTGAGGATCACAGTTGGAAGCCAGGAAAGTCTGTGAGACTTTTATGTCCAATAAACTACTCAGAAAAAGGGCGGAAGTGGTGCTGTGGCTCACGTGGTGGTTGCTAGCCTTGAGCACAAGGACGGTGCTCAGGCCATGAGTTCCAGTGCCCTCTCCCCCCAAAAAAGGCAGATTGAGGGACCCCTCCACATTAAAGGACACTAAAAAGACTCCACAGAAGGCAGTTGGAGGGCTCAGATCCTGAGCCAGGAATAAAGCAAGTTACGTAGCATGTTGTGGGGATAAGCTGGGAAACTGTGAATGGAGACCGTGAGCGAATGGAGCGTGTCTTGTTTGAATTTTGCTCTCGGCGGCAGCGTGTCTGACTCTGTGTCCTTGCCCCCTCTTCAGCGCACCCGCTCGTGCCCCGCCCACCCCACCCCGGGACCATGTTGGTGCTCCTTGCCTTCATCATCATCTTCCACATCACCTCCGCAGCCCTGCTGTTTGTTGCCACCATCGACAACGTAAGCTCCTCTTCCTGCAGACCGCCTGGGAGCGCGCAGACAGGGGAGTCCTCTTGGCCTCTGTGTGGAAGGAACTTGTCCTGGATCATTCCAGGTTCAGGTTGGGATGGCAGGTGTTAAAGAGGTCAGGGGCCTTTGTCTGCTCCCCTTGGGTTCCTTCCTGGAGCTGTATAGGACACCTGTCCCAGGAAACCCTTTGAGGACGGTGTGAATTCTCACCCCGTGCCGGCTCATTTGGGGCTGGGTAGTTAGTTCTTGGTGGCAGGGCCTTCCTGCCCATTCACATCTTTGGGTGGTGGTTGTTCTTTTGCCCACTAGGTGTCAGTAGTCCTTCTACCCATGCTCTTGCAACCAGCATTGTCTTCAGACATTGTCGGCTGTCCTACGAGCAAATATTCCTGTATTGAGGGACATGGCTTTAGATCCCCGCCTCCTCTCCCCCACCCCTGCCGCCGCCATGGGGGTCCCTCTCCCCGACCCTCCACCAGCTACCTCTGCTCCCTGCCCCAGATGCCTCCTACCCAGCCAGGAGCCCAGGTGGCTTCCTTCCCCTGCCCATGCCCTCCCTGGCCGAGCTCATGCTTGAGACTTTGCAGATTTACTCTTTGCAGACTCTTTTATTTGCTGTTCACCCAGCAATAGAGAATGAAGTGTGTTAACCACCTCTTGGGTGTACTTCGCTGATCCTAAGGCTGGTTTCAATCCTGATCACTTCACACTAAAGAGATATTTAAGAGGAAAGTCTGTGAAACTCTTATCACCAGCTAACCCACGAAAGAGCAAGTAATGGAGCTATGGCTCAAGTGGTGGAGCACAGCCTTGAGTAGAAAAGCTAAAGTAAGGGACAGTGCCCAAGCCCTGAGTTCAAGTCCTAATACTGGCATTGTGCATGTGAGTGTGCCTGTGAGCACACACACACACACACACACACACAGTAAGGGCCTAAACTAGGATCCACCTATCTCCAGTTCCCAAGTGGCTGGAGCTACAGGTGTGTACTACTATTGCTGGCCCTGACCACTGTGTATCATGCTACCTCATCTCACCCCATGGGTCATGAGAAACAGACACTTTGGGTCCTTCTGTAGGTACGCAGCCTGGTGTCCCCTTGATCCTGGTAGGTAGGCCCCAAAGCCCCACCTCAGGCCACACCGAGTGAGCACTTGACCGAGATCCTCAGGGCCCTGCAGGCTGCAGCTGGAGACGACCTTCCCACCATGCAGCACACCCGTGAGGAGGCCATGTGGGTGTCATTCACTGACAGCCTTCCTCTGTTTCCATTTCTGTATCCAGGCCTGGTGGGTAGGAGACAACTTTTCTGTAGATGTCTGGAGAGTGTGCAGAAACAACTCGAATTGTACAGAGATCAATGAGTCGTTTTCAGGTGAGTGGGGGAGTGGAGCCATAAAGCGTGTGTGGAAGGGGCGCGTTCCATGGCCTGGTGTCCGCGCCCCGCTTGCGCTCTGCACTCAGGCCCGCTGGCTGTGCCCAGGGCCTCATGCAGGGGCGGTGTGAGCTGCAATCCCCATGCACCAGCGGGCTAAGGGAGAACAGTGTCTCCACCCCCATGCCTCCAGCCTCTGCCCCTGCCGAGGGCTTGCTTCTCGCTGTCCGGGCCCTGCCTCCATGCTGCTTTCTGTCTAGCCATCGGGTGACTGAGAGATCTGATGTCCTGCCACCTCTATTGAACATAATGCGGGATACAACCCTGAGAACCAATTCACGGTGGCCCTGGAATACCAGGTCCCTCTGGGACCCCAGAGCGCATCTCCCAGCAGTTTCCCACCTGAGATTATAAGCGTGCACTACTATACCTGGCTTTTGCCAAGGTTTTAAGATTGTTGTTTTTTTCAGGGCTTGGATATGGCGTGGTGGTAGAGCAGGCATGAGGCCCTGAGTTCAATGCCCACTACCCAAAAAACAAAAAACAAACAGGGTTTCCTGCATCCCAAAGCCCTTTGTTTATTTTTGGTTCACTTAAGGAGGATTTTACCACCTCTGGTCTCAGCTGAGGACACCAAGGTTCCAGGACATCAGATCTCTCAGTCCCCCGATGGCCGGGACTCTACCACATGAGCCACAGCACCACTTCCAGTTTTCTGGTGGTTTATTGGAGATAAGAGTTTCATGGACTTTTCCTGCTCAAGCTGGCTTTGAACTGTGATCCTCAGATCTCAGCCTCCTGAGTAGCTAGGGCTTTAGGTGTGAGTCACCAGCACCCAGCTCCTATATGTTTCTGTTTGACAAATTTGACAATGTATTTGGGGAGCCCAGGGCCCACACTCTCTGAGACCCAGGCTCTCTCCTCATGTCCTCACCAGCGCCAATACAGAAGCAGCAAGTCTCACTGACTGATCTGTGACGTGGGGGGTGAGTCCTGTATACACACCATCTCACAGGACCTTAAACCAGAAGTGAAGGATGGAGCCAGGATTCCATTGAAATGGGACCAACTGAGGAATGCCCTGGATCTGTGATACAATCAGAGCTGCCTCCTCTTCTCTGGCTGGTTTTGGCCTTTTTTGGGGGGGGGGCAGTAGAGGAGTTTGAACCAGGGCCTTGTGCTTGCCCTTGAGTAGAAAAGCTAAAGGGGCAGTGACCCTGAGTTCAAGCCCCAGTACTGGCACACATGCTTGTTACATGAGCCACACTGCCAGCCTTTTGCTCTGTTTAGGCCATGCTAAGCCCTGGTCCTGGGAATAGCCCCATCCTGTGCTCTGTGGGGACCTTGGCCAGCCTCTGCGACCCTGTCCCCATCCTCCCTGGGGGTTATGCATTTGTTTTTAATAAGTACCAAAGGGTTGAACGCAGGGCCTTGCCCTTACCAGACAGGTGCTCTACTAGTTAAGCCCCTTTCTGCGTTGGTTGCTTTGAAGGTAGGGTCTCCCTTTATGCCCTGGTGTGTGATCTTCCTATTTGTCCTCACTGGTGTGACTGGGGATGGCAGGCGTGCACTGAGCCTTGTGCTTTCCCTAAGCCAGGATAACCTTTAGTTGAGGTGGAGTCTTGGAAACTTTGTTTTTGTTCAGGTTCTGGGGCTTCAGTTCAGGGCTTCGGCAGAGTTCTTGAGCTTTTTCAGTCAAGGCCAATGCTCTACCACTTAAGCCACAGTTCTACTTCAAGGGGTTTTTTGGGTAGTTAATTGGAGATGAGAGTCTCATGGACTTTCCTGCCTGGGTTGGCTTTGAATTGTGATCCTTATATCTCAGTCTCCTAAGTAGTCAGGATTACAGGTGTGAGCCACCAGCAAGACGGAGGCTTGCAAACTTTCATACTCAAGATGGCCTCAAACTGGGATTCTTCCATCTCCACTTGTCAAGTACCTAGGATTACAGGCTGGAGGCACCGTGCCTGGTTATATTTGTTGTTTTTCATTAAAATTAGGAACTAAGCTGAGTTCATTCTGAGGCTGGACCATGAACTAAGAGTGGTTCTGACATTTTTAAAGAGTTGTTAAAGAAAACGAACCAAAACAAACCAAAAAGCAAAGAATAGGTGACGAGAAACTGGACGGAGTGGGAGCCTGAGATATTTCCTGTCTGGCCCTTTCCTGAGAACACTGCCAATGCCGCGGCTTGCAAAGGCCGCTTCCCTTCCCTTCCATAAGCAAACAAACCTGTGTCACTTCCAAATAAAAGTAGGGAAGAGTTACAAAATACTCTACCAGGACTGTGGGTGTGGCTCAGTGGTAGAACACTTGCCTAGCAAAAAATGAAGCTTGGAGTTCAAACCTCAGTTCTGCAACACAACACAAAGCTCAAGCCGGGCACCTGAGGCTCCTGCCTGTCATCCTGCCTACTCAGAAGACAGATCTGGGGATCCCAATTCGAAGTCAGCTCAGGCAGGAAAGTCCATGAGACTGTTATCTCCCAACTAATCACCAGAAAACTGGAAGTGGAGTTGTGGCTTAAAGTGGTAGAGCACTAGCTTTAAGCACAAAAGCTCAGGGGACAATACCCAGGCCCTGAGTTCAAGTACCATGACGATGACAACAAAGGTTGAGGGACCTTGCATGCATGTATGGAAATGTCACAATAAAACTCCCCCCCTTGTACAATGAATGGAAGCTAATTCAAAAAAATAATTAGAAAAAAAAAGGCAAGCCCCGTTGGACACCAATGGCTCACACCTGTAATTTTAGCTACTCAGGAGTCCTTGAGACTCATCTCCAATAACCAACCAAATAGCTGGGGGTGGAGCCGTGGTTCACATGGTAGAGTGCCATCCGTGAGTGAAAAAGCTATGCACAGTGCCCAGGTCCCCAGTTCAAGCCTCAGCCCTGGCACAATGTGTTCTTAAGCCCGTTCCCCGCCCCGTCACTGAGCCAGGTATGTCCTCATGGCCTGAAGCTGGAAGAGAACAGAACAGGGGGTCCTTTCTCCACCCATCTTCTGGTCAAGTTAAGGATCCTTACTCCATTTGCCAAGGGGTTGAGGACTGCCGGCTTCCATGTGCCATCCAGAGGGGATCTGGAAGATTCCTTGGCTCCCCCAGCTCCTTTGCGCCCCCTCTCCTGCCTGGGCCTCTGGCAGGCCTTGCTGGCACAGGCGGCCATCCTCAGCCGTGCGTCTCCTCCGCCCGCAGATTACGCCACGCTGCAGGCCGTGCAGGCCTCCATGATCCTCTCCACCATCCTGTGTTGCATTGCCTTCTTCATCTTCCTGCTCCAGCTCTTCCGTCTCAAGCAGGGAGAGAGATTCGTTTTAACCTCCATCATCCAACTCATGTCGTGTAAGTGGGGCTCCGGAGGCTGCTGGCGCTGGCACACAGAGAAGCTGCCTGCGGGCAGGGCTGCATGCACTTGGTAGATTGGGGAATCTGGGTTTCCACGGGAGATCAGGGCAGTGGATGGAGACATGAAGGCTGAGCTACCAGGGTTCCAGCGGGACACCAGAGCGCTGGGCGCTTGGGATGGGGGAGCCGGGGAGGCCGGGCCAGGCCAGGCTGGGGAAGCGTGTGTGTACATATGGGCTGGAGCCATGTAGAGGACCCTGGAGGCTGTGGAAATGAGTTGCAGACCTGAAAGCCATCCACAGAGAGGCCCATGTTGGGCCTAGCCCATGCTGCCAGGTCCTCGCTTCTGTCCCCCTGGAAAAGGCAGCCCTCCACCCCATGCCCTGACTGCTATCTGTGAGTGTTGGCATTGGCAGTGCTTCGTGAGTACAACTGCGCTTCATAGCAGACAAAATCCAACTATTGATGACTTTAACCGTGAAGACAGTGTCCGCTTGCTCACAATCAGTAGCCTGCAGGTGGGACATTTAGGCAGTTTCTACTCTTCCCATTGTTCTGGCACCTTCCGAGTAGCAATGGTGGCACCCTCCACCCCTGCCCCACGGATCCGAAAGGGTTGCAGCAGCTCCATACATTCCAGCCTAAACCTGACAGTATCTAAAGCAGTAAGTTGGGGAAAGGATAACAAAAAAACATAAATAAGCATACAAAAAAAAAAAAAAACCTCCTCAATCTTCTCCCTTATCTCTTTTTTGGGAATACTATTTTTCACTGAGTGATATTTCTGCAGCCTGAACTGGCCACACAACTGGACCTGTACGCTGCACTAATGAAAGAGAGTTGGAAAACGACAACTCACGGGCCAAAGGTAGCCAGCCACGTGTATTTTGTAAATAAAGTTTTATTGAAACACAGCTGCATCCGTTTTGTCCACGGCAGCTGTCCTATTCCAGCAGCAAGAGTTGTCTTCAGCTGCAGCCATAGGTCTTGGGCTGTGTGGGGTTTAGTGTGATCCCCCATGACTTACCTGATCCCTGGGTGTGTTTCCCAACAGGTCTGTGCGTCATGATTGGGGCTTCCATTTATACAGACCGGCGCCAGGACTTTCACAGCATCAACATGGTGAAATACTATGACTACGGGATGGAGGAAGGCCGCTACGGCTCCTCTTTCATCCTGGCGTGGGTGGCCTTCGCCTTTACCTTCACCAGTGGCCTCATGTATCTGGTCCTGAGGAAGCGCAAGTAGAGATGCAGGCACCGCCCGACTCCTGCAGTAGGCATTCGCGTCCACTTAACCATTTTGTACATAATCATTTTTCGTGTGTGTGGTTTTTCTAGCAAACATATCGTTTCCTTTAAAAGCCAAAAAGAAAAAAACAAAAACACAAAAAAAACCCTCACCCCTCCAACAACAAAACCCCAACAACAAAAACCAAAGAAACGAGTGAGAGAGGAGTTCTTGCGTTCTAGAGATCAGAAGATGGATGATGCAGGCTGGTTATTCTGAACTCTAAGGCAAACTGTGGAAATCGCTCAGCAGGGTGTTTCTTACCCACGGGGCTACGGCTGGCTGTGTGGGGCTGTGAACTGAGCCTGGTCTCTGGTTCTCTGGGGTCTCACCAAGCCCCTTCTGCCTCAGCTTCCCCTTCCCAAATCTCTGGTCAGCAGGGAAGGCGGGCAGGGGAGGCCCAGGTGTAGCCAATCCTGGCATGTGTCTATCAGTGAACCAAGAGCCCCAGTAGGTGTGTCTGGGGGGGGTCACCATTCACCTTTGCTGGCTGTCTTCTAGGGGACTGTGTTCCTGAAGCTGGGGATCAGATTTAGGCAAAGTTCTCAAAAGTAGCTCCTCAGAGCATTGATTCCAAAATCTCCCACTTTGGCCATTTCCCAGACTCCCAGAATCTGCATTTCTAGCAAGTTCCTCTGACCATCCTTCTGTACACTCACATTGGGGACACAGTCCCTGAGCCCTGGGGTGGGGGGGGGGAGGGGGCTATCCCATGCACTTCAGCAGGCTCGTGTCAAGATGGCCCCAGTGCAGGCCACGGCTGCACTCAGCCAGCTCCCGATTCCCACCGTCTCTTTCCTAGGTGTTGACATCTGGGCCACCTGTCCCCCTCAGTCAGGCCTTGTGCCTGGAAACTGGATGGCTTGGAGTGGCCTTTCTCTTCCTGCCCCACATGCTAGGCTAGTTGCCTCCATCAACCCCTACTTCTAGAGCCTCAGAATCCCTCCTTCTCTCCATCCCCTCTACCATTCATGTATTCATTCATTGATTCACAAACCAACCTAAACGATGGCATGCTTGCCCGGTGGCAGGCACAGGGGATACTCTCCCAAGACAATCTCTAGAATGACGATCTGCAGTGGGAGGGAGTGTCTTTAGTCTTGCCCACAGGGCACTGAATGAATCCTAAATATAGCTCCACTCAGCAATGACAGACGGCGTCCACCGGGCAGTGGCAGTCTGTTTCCCACCCCTGGGGTCACTGCAGTGGTGAAAGAGGGGATCCCCCTCTACCAAGCCACAGTCCTTGAGCTTTAATGGACTTGGGGTCACGCAGGAGAATGTGTATGAGCCCCTCCTGAGACGTAGGGTGGTTGGTGTGTCTCTACTTAAACACTTTTATACATGATTGCCATGTGAAGGAATGATCTGCCTTCATGCTAGTTCCAGTGGAGATTCATTCATTCATTCATTGGTTTTCAGCAAATAGTAATAAATGCGTATCATGTTCTGAGTACTGTAGGGAGATCTCAAAGTAGAAGACAAATGCAGACATCTTCCCTGCCCTCTTGGAGTTTGTAGGTTCTAAAATAGGGCCCCTCCCCCTGATCCCAGTACCTTAGGAAAGCCCTCAGCTTAGTATAGAGTGACATGGAGCCAGAGACAGGACAGGACAGATGGCCACCTCCTGCCTGGATGGAAGATTGTCATCAGTCACATGATGAACAAGAATGAATTTCAGCCAGTGCTGATGGCTCACACCTGTAACCATAGCTACTCAGGAGGCTGAGAGCTGAGGATCCTGGTTCTAAGTCACTCAGGTAGACAAACCTGAGATTTCCTTTTTCTTCAGTTAATCACCAGAAATTTCAGGACTAGAGCTGTGGCTCAGGTAGTAAGAGCACCAGCCTTGAGTGAAAAAGCTAAGGGACAGCACCCAGCCCCTGAGTTCAAGCCCCGGTACCGGCACAATACACATACCAAAGTATTGAGTCACATTGAGTGGAATGCCATGAAGGCTTCAGGAGGGAGGTGGAAAGGGGGGAGCTTTTCTGTAATGTTCTGATAGCCACAAAAGAAGCAAAGGAAACACCTTAGAACCAACCAGAGCCGTGGGAAGTCTGGGGTTATAGGAGTACCTGCAAAGGTGTTGGATCCTGTGGGAATGATGCAGATGACCCAGTGGGGTTTTCCTGGGTGGCTGCCAGTGTGCCCAGCATCAGTGCCCACCTGTCTGTCATACAGAGTTTTGAGACAGGAGAGAAACCTCTTCTCTGCTGTGACAAGCATTTGGAACCTGGAAAAGAGACAATAGTGTGAGACAGGAAGCATCCGGCAGATCTCCAAGGAAACACAATCAGCCCTGGCTTATGGTCATCATCTGCTATCCAAGGTCATCTTCAAGGTTAGCGAAGGCATCCGAGAAGCAAATGTTAGGACCAAATCTGTTATTGTATCTGAGGGACTGTAGTTTGCATAGCTTGTATGACTTAAATAAAAATAAAGTACTGTAATTCTTTCATGGGGGAGGGGTGTGACAGTCAGACTAACTTGTTTTGTTTTGCATTAAAATGATTCTGGGTTTCTGTTGAAATGTCTTTGGAGAATGCTTGGTGTGTTGCTCTACATAAACATGTGTGCACAAACTTGAATACAGGAAAATGGTAGAATTTGGATTCTCATACCCCGCAACATGTTGGTGACCTGTGTGCAGACAGGCTGATATCCTAAAGGTGTAAATCTTACACTCAGAACATAGCCACCGTGGGGAGCTGCGTCAGCAAAATCTGTCCCCATGGGGACTTAAATGTACAGGTTACTGACCAAGCAGCAAGTGACACAATTTTTTTTTTCAAATCAGAAAAGGCCACCATGGTAAGGAATTGCTACAGAAAGGCAGAGGGGTTCATGGTAAAATAAAAAATCACCTTTGGGGACAAAGGTGATTTTATGGTAGGTACTGTTTAGTTAAGTGTATCTTTAGGATAGCCCTTTTTCTTTGTTTTGTATTCTCTAAAACCACATGTGAAAGATAAAATGTAAAACCAAATGGCTCAGAGCAATAAACTTCGTATTCCCCACTATGAGAGAGGGGCCGGGGGCTGCTGGGCCAGTGATTAAGTGCTTGCCTAAGAAGCATTGAGGCTCTGGGTTTGATCCTCAGTACCAAGAATAAGACAAGACAAAAAATGAGGATAGTTATTATTTTTTTATAGCCAGCCATCAATGACTAACAGCTCATTCTAGGTAATTCCTTATGCTTCTCTCAGAGGGCCAGCTGGTATAACACAGAATCCCACTGAGGGCATGGCTCAAGTGGTAAAGTGTCTGCTTAGTAGAAAACAACAACAAAAAAATTGTAAATCAAGGTAAGAATCCCAAACTGCTGAGATTAATAGAAGTCTACGGGAAAGATCACCCTTAGACCTAGATACTCACTGAAGATGTTCCTACGCTGGCAAAACAGTACTGTGAGCACAATTCAGTGGCAGAAGTGAAGAGGGGGCACTTCTGCCACCTTGTGGTCGTTTATCCAAATTGTTCGTTTAGGTTTGGAGATGAAATTGCAGTGGCTGAATCTCCTTGAAAGACAGTGTTCCAGTCCTCTGAACAGTTGGGTCATGTTCCCTTGACTGTGACCTCAGATACACACGTTTGCCTCTAAAGTCCATTAGAAAAAAAGCTATTTGATTTGGCCAGATACAAATTTATATCTTCGTGCTAAATGTCATTATGGGCCAGAGAGAGAGGAGAGAGAGAGAGAGAGAGAGAGTGTCTCTGTGTGTGTGTACTATCCTAGGCTGGCCTGAAACCCACCATGTCGCTCAAGCTGGCCTCAAATGTGAGATCCCCTGTTTCAGCCTCTTAAATACTAGGATCATACATATGAACCACCACGCCTGGCTCATGTGTACTTTTTACTTGCTCATCTCTGGTGGACCACAGGACTCCACCAAATTGGCCAGGAACTATCTAGTCTAATTCTCCACTTTAGTGCTTGGATCAATATCTGCTCATAGTAAATGTTTCCTAATTCATAGGATAATCTATGAATGAAGAATCCACTGTGACAATGTAATGGGTGGATGAGGATAAAGAGCTTCCCCATCATGGGTATCATCCAGTTTACCCCCTCATTGGTCAGAGGATGGCCTGTAAATTTACCAGATCAGATGTGTGCAGTCTGTTGGTCTGAAATAAGACCTCTAATCTGTCTAAACTATTAATTTATCAGTCTCTGGGCCTGCTACCCCAGAGTCTCAGTATATGAGCACGAGATGGATGAATGTAACTGGCTAATGGTGGAGATAAATGATCAATATATTTGAGCCCAAAGGGAACTGACTTCAACCTAATGAACTCAACTCCTCGCATGGTCAGCTCAGCCTTGGGCCTTTTGATCAATTTGGGATATCACAAATGGCAAGATATGGTGTCAGTGTCTCATGCAAGTAATGCTAGCTACTCAGGAGGCTGAGATCTGAGGGTCAGTTTGAAGCGAGCCTGAAAAAAGACTGTGAGACTTTTTATTGTTGGTCATGTGTCTTGAATAGGGACTTTTCTGCCTGGGATGGCTTAGAACTGTGATCCTCAGATCTCAGCCACCTGAATAGCTAGGATTATAGGCGCGAGACACCAGCGCCTGGCTCTGTGAGACTCTTCTCTCCAAAAAAACTACTCAGGAAAAGCTAGGAGTGGTGCTGTGGCTCAAGTGGTAGAGCACTAGGCTTGAACACAGAGAGGCTCAGGGACAGTGCCCTGGCCCTCAGTTCAAGCCCCAGGACTGGCAAAGGAAAAAAAAAAAAATCTGAGAAAAGTGAAAGACCAGGCCCTAACCATAGAGCTCCTGGTATGGCCATGTATTGCTTGGCTTTTGGTCTGTGCCTTCACACTGCCATCTTTTCTTCTATCTCTTTTTCCATGCGTCTTTCTGAAAGTGGGTCATTGCTTTAGGGCCCAAATGAAAAATCCAAGAGGGGTTTCAGGCCCTTTTTACATCTGCAAAGGAGATCTTTTCTTTTTTTTCTTTTCTTTTGGGTCCGGTCGTGGGGCCTGAACTCTGGGTCTGGGCATTGTCCCTCAGCTCTTCAGCTCAAGGCTAGCGCTCTACCACTTGAGCTATAGCGCCACTTCCGGCTTTTTTTCTTATGTGGTGCTGGGGAATTGAACCCAGGGCCTCATGCATGCAAGGCAAGCGCTCTACCACTGAGCCATCTTCCCAGCCCCGAGACCCTTTTCTTAAATAAGGGCACTTGTGATTTTTTAATGTGGTTCTAGCGCTCAGAGGCAGGCACTTTCCTTCACCATTCACCTTTCAACACAGGCTGCAGATACACAGGGATAGGTCTCAAATTAATCTTCTTGCAGTATCATAACATTTCTTTCCTTTTGCTGGCCAGAGACACACACTTTGTAAAATGGTTTAACTTTTTGATGGTCACTTAAATTTCCAGTTCTTTTTTTTTTTTTTTGGTCGGTCGTGGGGCTTGAACTCTGGGCCTGGGCGCTGTCCCTCAGCTCTTCAGCTCAAGGCGAGCGCTCTACCACTTGAGCTAGAGCGCCACTTCCGGTTTTCTGGTGGTTTATTGGAGATAGGAGTCTCACGGTCTCTCCTGCCCGGGCTGGCTTTGAACTGCGATCCTCCGATCTCAGCTTCCTGAGTAGCTAGGATTACAGGCGTGAGCCACCAGTGCCCGGCTTAAATTTCTAGTTCTTATTTCAGCAACTGGGCCATTCTCAGGGGAGTCTTCTGTCTGTGTGAATCTGAAGTCTGCATGGTTGGGGGGGGGGGTGGGGTGTCCAGTATTACCACCAGGTGGCAGCCAAGAACTAGGGGTCAGAAGGATCTACCTGGCTGCGACTTGAGATACAAGTTATGATCTTAGCTTCTGAACCCAGATCCCCCAAGTTCCCCAGAAAGAACATAGTTGATTCAGCTTTGCTGTGGCCCCATTCTGGCCTCCCTTACATAGGGGCAAAATAAGAAATTCTTCATTACCAATAATCCTGGGTGGATTATAAAAGGAACTAACTTTATTGGGATCTGATTATTCAAACTTTTGGAATGTTCAAATATAGCCCAAATATGCTCCCAAATTATTTCTAAATCTAAGTTTAAAAAAAAAATGGCAAGAGAAAAGCAGTAAGAATGATTCGATGAGACTTTTTAATCTATTTGGTCCAAGACAAGCTATGGCTTTTGGTCTGATCCATGTCCCATTTCCTGCTTCAAGAAAAAATATTAGTGGCGCTGTAGCTCAAGTGGTAGAGCGCTCGCCTTGAGTTGAAGAGCTGAGGGACAACGCCCAGGCCCAGAGTTCAAGCCCCATGACCGACAAAAAAAAAAAAGAAAAAATATTATTTTAAATTAAGTAGTTGCACAAAGGGGGTTTCAATTCCACAAGTCAGATTATGAGTATATGTGCTAGAGGCTTGGCCCAAGTGGTAGAGCGCCAGCCAATGAAAGCATGAGATCAAGAGTGTGGAATCTTGGTCTTGGACAAAAAAAAAAGAAAAACAGACTATGAGTATAATGACTCTTGATCACTGTCACGTGTCTCTGAGAGAGCCCTTATGGGGAGGAGAGGTTCAGGTGTGTCATCGAGGAGACAATAACATAAACGTGATTATTACTCACCACATGATCAAATGGCTGATGAAAAGCCAAGGTGAGCAGGTGCTCAGCAAGTAAAAGACCTGTGGGAGCAAAGCTTCTGAGGTCTCCAACACCGCCTTATCTGCAGTTCTGGGTGGTGGGTTTCAGGCTCCACTGTCACAAAGCACAAGTGCAGTTAATGTGGAGTGTGAGACATGGCTTGTCTGGCTGTCCAGGGGAGGCAGAGGAATGGGTCAGCATCAGGGTGGATTGCATGAGGCGCTGTAAGAACTCCAACTGTCAAGGATGACTGAACACTGCTTCTGGTATGAGAAAAGTCCAACTTACGTTAAAATGGGAACAAAGGCCACATGGCTATAGAACCTGCTATATGAAATGGCTTTCCCATGACCCTGAAGCAGGGGATCTGATTGGAAATCACCAACCAATCAGGTGTTGATGGCTCACACCTGAAATCCTAGTTTCTTAGGAAGCTGAGATCTGAAGGCTGCAGTTCAAACCCAGTCTGGGCAGGAAAGCCCATGAGACTCATCTCTAATTAACCACTAGAAAACAGGAAGTGACGCTGTGGCTCAAGGCGGTAGAGCACTAGCTTTGAGCAAAAAGAACTCTGGGACAATGCCCAAGCCCTGAGTTCAAGCTTTATGACTTTAAAAAAAAAAAGTCACCTTCCACACCAGGCACTGGTCACTACTCAAGAGGGTGAGATCAAGTCAGCCTGTGTAGTCCGGAGACTCTTATATTACAAAACTCAGAGATAGTGCCCAGACCCTGCGATCAAGTCTCAGGACTGGCACCAAAAAAAAGTCACCTAATTACAAGAGGAAAAGCCATAGGAGAAGTTTGTTCTGATCAGTTGTCCCATGTCTCCCTTACATAGGGGTCATCAGAGAACAGCTAGAGTACAAAAAGACCCCACTCAGCCATCGATGGGGGAGGGGGCAGTCAGGTGCCAAGCAGCGGCAACAGCACCCTTCGAGATGCTTCTCTTCAAAGCTCTTCACACTGGTCCTGTGGACTTCATAAGGCCAAAAACTCCGAAGGGAACAGGCAGAAATAGAAGAGTATGTCTCAACCCCAACACATACACACATTTTCCAAGGTTGAATTTCTAGGTTTCCAGAGCATGAGCCATGAGCTTTTCTCATTAAGTTCAATGTTGGCTTATCGGTGTGGTAGTTTCTTAAGGGAGAGATAAAGGCAGCATTTCATAGGGTGATGTTAGTTCTCTGTGCTGTGGCAAGACTTTGTCCTGTGGCCCACTTGATTCAGGTACCACTGAAACTTGAGCATCTTGTCCCTGCGCCTCTAAATGGCAAGAAACCTTTCTGTTGCATGAGCCACTGAGAGGGGTCTGCTTCCCATCAGCCTGTCATCATAATGTGGGACCTAGGAGCTCTTTTGCCTGAGCCTTGCACACTTGTGCTAATTGGGGGCAGGGCTTCATGCTGGTGATGCATGTCATAACTTTGGCCCATTATTAGGGTCTTACCTGCCCTGTTCCGTGCTGGAGGATGCCTTGATGGGCCTGAAATAGTATCCCAATTGGGGAGGGAGGGGGTGTCTCCTCATCCAGATGTAGCTCCACACTTGGCTCTTTAAGTCATGTTTTATAGAGACACAGGAGTCTGACAAAAATAACTTTATTTATGACAAGATATAGAGGCATTCACAAAATACCAATGAAAAATCATTTCTTGTTCATTTTCTAAGTCTCAGATCCTCTTTGTTCCAGGAAAGAATGTCCTCTTCCAAACTTCTCATTTAGCTTTCTCAACATTCTAGCTACTTACTATCCAGAAAGTTTCTTTTCCTTGGACCTTTACAATTTCTCAAGTTTCTGTTCACACGCCCTGGCTCGGGTCATGTGTACTTCCTTCAATGTTCCCTAGGGAAGGGCCTTGTGTGAGACTCATCCACTAAGCCCCTTTCAGTATGTTTTGTTCGCTGATAATGCTGACAACCAGGAAATTTGCAAAGGGTAACATTCAGCAAATTAAACCCTTAAATCTTAAGGATGATAACTTCACAACTGAAACAGCAGGCTAGACAATGGTTTTATGACAATATTTTTGTGTGCAAAGCACACCATGTTTAACAATTTTATACATAACCATATAGACAAATCCTCCAGACTATTCCTTAAAATGATTGTCATGGCCAACAAAAACAAAAAACAAGGTGGGGTGGGGGAGTTGGAGGAGTGGAAAGTGTGAGAAAAGGAGGGAAGGGATAATACTATTCAACAAGAAATGTACTCATAACCTTACTTATGTAACTAACTCCTGTGTACATCACCTTTACAATAAAATTAAATTAATTTTTAAAAAGAAATAAATAAATAAAGAGAAAGGGCCCAAATCTGCAGCCCTCTTAGAACTGAAACAGAATAGGAAGACATTTGCATGAATCTTCCTGAAGATGTACTGCAGGCACGATCTGGCCTCAGTGAAGGGCTGACTCCATAGCTTTTCTGGGGTAGAGAAGGATGTGTCGATTGACTTGAACTCAGAGCCATGGCTCCACTTGTGGCTTTTCCTACCCAGGCTAGTTTCCAACTCCAGACCTCAGTCTCTCGAGCAGCTAGTATTATAGCTATGAGTGACGGGTGCCCAGCGATTGTTTTTTAAATAAATATACAAACAACAACAATCATAACAAAAACCCTGACCCTTAGCAGGTCACATAAGTAGCAGCACCATAGGCATCAAAGGAATTAGAACATAGCAACATGGTTCACAATCATGTATGCTCGAGAACATATACACTGGAGAATGTACTGAATGTAAATTAGAAGATCATGAAACTACAACTCACAATATGGGAAGGAAAACTATTTCCATAAAAGGGTTCGGTCTGAACTGGCCCGGCAAAATAACAAATAGTATCACCGGCAAAATAACAAATAGTATCACAGCAACACTGTAAACAACAAATATGAAAAAAGAAAACAACATGGAATACATAGCCTAAAGACTCTTAAGGGTTTTAGAAAGCCCAGGAATACATTTTATATCACAAAATGGTCCATATCGCCCAAAAATATCTTTGGACTGCACAGTAAAGTAGTATTTGTTGGAAACCAGAAACTGAGATAAAGTGCAGGCCATCGGGAGAGGTAAAGCTTTAATTTCTCCAATCTTCTTCCAAATCAGCTGACTGTTGGCGTTTTCATGGCACAGGAAGAGGTGGTAGCTCTCCACGGGAGCACACTTGGGGTTGATCTTGCTGATATTCCAAGTCAGGGCAATGCCCAGGGGTTTCAGCACCCATTTCACCTTCAGCTCAGCCTTCTGGGGAGGAAGTGTGTCTCGGCTCTTGTCTGCCAGCTCAGGGAGCGGTAATGGTGCTTCTGGGAGAGGTGGCAGGTGATCAAAGGCATCTAAATTCTAAAAGCATATTTGTGAAGAGGTTTAGCAGGCTCACTGGGCGGGTCCTGAGTAGTCAATCACAGTGGTTACTAATCTAGTTCCCATTTTTCAGCCTTTATATGAAAAATTTAAAAAGGTGATTTCAAGAGGCTATGAAGCTGAATTCATGCTTCAGCATGAGGACACCATCAAAGAAGTGAAGATTTTCATAGTGTAAATGGTCACTAATCCAGAATGTGGTTAAAGTGCATGTCTCATGCCTGTGTAAACTGTCAGGGCTTAAGCAGCCATTTCCCTTCACCCTCATCAACAGTGGCTATTACTTTTAAAATGAAATTTCTTAATGTGCCAGACAAGAAATGTGTTTCATTTCTGTAGCTTTTGGAAAATTTATCTGAGTTATTTTACATGTGTGAACAAGTAGGCTCATAAGAACACATTTTAAATTGCTATTAAGGCTCATGCCTGTAATCCTAGCTACTCAGGAGGCTTAGATCTGAGGATCATGGTTCAAAGCCTACCTGAGCAGAAAAGCCCATTAGACTCTCTTTGCCAATTAATCACAGAAAAAGCTGGGAGCTGGGCTTAGTGATAGAGTGCTTGCCTAGCATGCATGAAGCCCTCTGAGTTTGATTCCTCAGCACCACATAAACAGATAAAGCCAGAGGTAGCACCATGGCTAGAGTGCTAGCCTTGAGCAAAAGAAGCTCATGGACAGTATCCAGGCCCTGAGTTCAAGCCCCAGAACTGGCAAAAAAAAAGGAAACAAGAAAAAGCCAGAAGTGGCACTGTGGCTCAAGTGGTAGAGTGCCAGCCTTGAGCAAAAGCAGCTCAGGGACAGCGCCCAGGCCCTGAACCAGCACAGTGCACACCAGACAGCGAACAATCCCTTCCCACTCAACATAGAATGAAGATCCTATAAAGAGCATACCTCACTTCCATTTTTGGCCATTGAAGTCTTTTCTTCTGAGTTTGAAACAGGTTTGTGAGAAGACCCAAGGGTGACTTCTGGAATTTCTGTGAAGAAACATACAAAGTTTAAGAAGAAAAACTTAGGGCTTGGTGGGGCAGGGGTAGTGGTGGTGGTGGGGTTAGTTTAGTGGTAAGCACTTGCCTACCATGCAATAAGGCCTTATGTTTGATTTCCAGAAAATAAACCACAAATAAGCATCTGTTAGAATTAAAACCATAAAGTCATTATTACACAGGAGAGACTGGATAAAGGATGGAAAAAGCAGCTAGGAATCCAGAGATATACAACTAATGAATAGCTTGATTAAAAGCACCTAAGCACTATTGCAGTCTTAAATCTTACATTCTCTCATAAGGTGCAACATTTACAATAAGAAAACAGAGCAGCTATCTCCCAAGTGACCATGCCTACATATTCAGGTGATTAGTATACTCCAAGACTGAACAAAGAAAACAAGACCCTGACTCTGGCAAAGTGATTCCAAAGGGCACAAAGTATTTGCTGTGGCTCAAGTGGTAGAGCGCTAGCCTTGAGCTGAAGAGCTGAGGGACAGCACCCAGGCCGAGTTCAAGCCCCATGACAAAAAAGCACAAAAAACAAAACAAAAACAAAAACAAAAAAAACAATCTACCACCACCACTAAGAACAACAACTAATGCTCTACCACATTGAGCTACAGCCCCACTTCTGGCTTTCCTTGCTTCAAACCACAACCCTCAGATCTCAGCCTCATGAGTAGATAGGATTACTGGCATGAGCCACCAGTGCCCAGCTAGTTTTCTTTTCTTTCCTTTTGTTTTTGTCAGTCATGGGGCTTGAACTCTGGGTCTAGGCACTGCCTGTGAACTCTTTAGCTCAAGTCTAGCACTCTACCATTTTGAATCACAGTGCCACTTCCAGTTTTCTGGTGACTAATTGGAGATGAGAGCCTTACGGACTTTCCTGCCTGGGCTGTCTTTGAACCTTGATCCTCAGGTCTCAGCCTCCTCAATAGTTAGGATTACAGGTGTGTGTTCATTTTTAATGGTTTTTATTCTTCCATAATGAAAGATGGTTTTGCTGAATATACAAATATAAGCTGACAACTATTCAACTATTTTTTTTTGGGGGGGTGGGGGGAAGGTCCGGTCGTGGGGCCTGAACTCTGGGCCTGGGCGCTGTCCCTCAGCTCTTCAGCTCAAGGCGAGCGCTCTACCACTTGAGCCACAGAGCCACTTCCAGCTTTTTTTTTCTTTTTGCTTATGTGGTGCTGAGGAATCGAACCCAGGGCCTCATGCATGCAAGGCAAGTGCTCTACCACTGAGCCACCTTCCCAGCCCAACAACTATTTTCTTTCAGAGCTTGGAGCATTGTTTTCATTCTTCTTTGGTTTTAGTTTCTCATGGCAACTCTATTATTCTAGTAGGTTTGTCTTTATGTGTGATTTGTCACTTCTCTCCTGCAACATTTAACATTCTTTATTCTGTATATTTCGTGCTTTCAGCATAATATGTGTAGAGGGTATCTTAAATGATCTTGTGGTTTTGATTTGCTGAAAGTTTCCTGTGCCCAAATGACCTCTGTTGTGACTGGTTAGGATTGCTGCTATTATTGTATCTGCTATATATACCTTTAGCTTACACATCTTCTCCTATACCCATGGCTCAGGCTTGGCCTTATAATGGTGATCTAGAGGCCCTTACGTGTACACTCAGATTTTATTGATTATGGATGTTTGAGGCAACTTGTTGCCTTGATTTTTCCCCCCATTATTTGGGTTTCTCCATTGAGACTTGATCATTTGAGGCCAAATTATTGAATTCAGGGGCTTATTTCATTTTTTAATGAAATTTTAATTTCAATTTTATTTCATTTGAAATGATATTTGATCTGGGGCTTGAACTCTGGGCCTATGAGCTGTCTCTGAGCTTTTTGTTCAAAGCTAGCACCTACCACTTGAGCCACAGAGCCACTTCCAGCTTTTTCTGAATTTATTGGAAATAAGACTCTCATGGACCTTCTCGCCTGGGCTCACTTTGCACTGCAATCCTCAGATCTCAGCCTCCCGAGTAGCTAGTATATAAGCATGAGCCACTTGTGCCTGGCGTATATAACATTTACAAGGAAATACACATTAGTGGTTGTCAGGGGTTAAGGATCATGGTAAGGAATGGGTGGGCATAAAGGGTACGTGTCAGGGACCTTGTGGCAATGGAACAGCTCTGTACTTTGTGGGGCAGTCACATCAGTCTACACTTCATACAACTGTACAGAATTTTGAACATATGCACCTGACACACTTTGGCTTCAAAAATGGGATCAGTACATTTTAAGTTTTTACTCTTCCCCTTTTCTTAAAAAAGAGTTAAAAATCCTTTACCTGTGTTGCTGTTGAACAGGTCTTCTGATGTTAAGTCAATAACAAAACCAAGCTTCCTCTTCCTGACAGCCTAAACAGTTGTAAAACAAAAAACAAGTAACTTGGGTTTGATTTAATAGCAGAAAATGTTTTTAAAAAGTGAAACACATGTACGTTTTTATAAACATTTGTTTCTTAATGCTGAGTCTGAAACACAGAGCCTTTTGAATGTGACCCATTTCTCTATCACTGAGCTACCCCCTCTCTAAGTTCTAAATGAACATTTAAAAGCTAGAAATTGCACTTTCTTATAGCTTAATTGAGCACTACTATAGAAGAGAAGTTCTTAAAATTACTTCATAGCTTTTGAATAGGCAACAAAGACTGTAATGGATCTGGTACACGAGCCTGGTTGGGAAGTATATTTATCTGCTATGTGGTTTTCAATGTGCATGCTGGCTTGGAACTTGGAACTACTCCACTGTGTCCCAGGAGACAACGAACTCCACTTTCAGGAAACAGCCAGTGAATGAATGACAAAACTAAGTCATTCACATGCATTAATAACAAAGATCCTGGTTCTAACATATTCAAATGAGCAATGTTCAAAGACAGTAATTGTTACCCACCCTAACTTGAATTTCATCATTAGATGAGTTGCTGGAATTGTTTGATGTAATTTTTCTAATATCTGAAAGAAAATTATTAAAGTATGAATACATTTGGCAAGATTATTGAGCTATTAAATATTTATGGACTTCAGAATATATGGATGCGGAGACACAGGAACAATGGGGATGCTAATTAACTGTTGATGGCGTAACTGAAGTGACTAGATAGACAGAATTTGACAGTCTAGTATAAAAAAAGTTAATTCGAGGTAAAAAATATTTTATTTTGCATAATTCTGTATCTCTTTTTGAAAATTCATCTGAAAATTATTTTAGCATTTGAATAAAATAAGCTTGGAATTGCAACAAGGCCTTATTCAAGGTAGCTTTCAAATAGACTGTCATACCTTCTTCCTGGGACCAGTAGGAAGCCACCCACTGTGGCTTCTACCTCACTGATTTAAAACTATGGAGACAATTAAGTAGCTTTGTTAAGTGCAACAAAGCTTCCTGAAATTAAGGTCCAAACATTCTAATACATCTAAAACATAAAACGAAAATAGAGAATTTCAGGTAAGAAACTGGACCACGCAAGATGATGATTTAAAAATAGAAGAACTAGAGCACTAGACCTGTAAAGTTTAAAAAGAAGAAGTAATACTGGGTGCCGGCAGCTCATGCCTGTAAGCCTTGCTACTCAGGAGGCTGAGATCTGAGGATCGAGGTTCAAAATCAGCCAGGGTAGGAAAGGCTGTGAAGCTCCAATAAACTGTGGCTCAAATAGTAGAGTGCTAACCTTGAGCTGAAGAGCTGAGGGACAGCGCTCAGGCTCAGAGTTCAAGCCCTATGACCAACAACAACAACAAAAAAACAACAAAAAACCCCACAGAAGTAATGAACAAACTTTTAGGTCTAAAATAAGAGTGTATGATATCCTAAGGCTGGCTATGGTGTCACATATTATAATTACTCAGGAAGCTGAGGTAGGATGCTGTATTTAGATAAGATCTCATTAAGACCTAGCCTAGGGCTGGGAAGGTGGCTCAGTGGTAGAGCGCTTGCCTTGCATGCATGAGGCCCTGGGTTCGATTCCTCAGCACCATATAAGCAAAAAGAAAAAAGCCGGAAGTAGCGCTGTGGCTTGTGGTAGAGCGCTAGCCTTGAGCTGAAGAGCTGAGGGACAGCGCCCAGGCCCAGAGTTCAGGCCCCATGACCGGACCCCCCCACCCCCCCAAAAGACCTAGCCTAGATCCCTTTGTTTCCTTCTAAAGAAGATAACTTGTAGACAAAACAAACCACCACTACCACCAACAAGTAATTAAAAACAACGCACATGCAAACCATTATGCAAATAAATCATAAAATAATTACACAAACAATAAAGAAATGAAAGATTATAAATAAATAAAACAAATTTAAAAGAGAATGTCAATTATATTAAGGTATCATTTCTTGAGGTATGTGTATAAATCAGAACATTGGAGTGGACTTTGCAGTTTTTAAAAAGCTACTCATCATTTTAAATATTTAAGGTTTCTATTTGATAAGGTTATATTCCAATTAACTTAAGATACCTGTTGGATCTGATGTAACTGGAGTTGTTACATTAGGACTCTCCACAGAAATCAACATAACATCATCGTTACTAAAATGGTAAAAAAAAATCAAAAATGGAAATAAACTAAACATGCAATATTAGGCTGTAAACATGCAATTAGTAGTTACAATTCTTCTAAGTTAATATTTCATAACATGTTTTAACATTTTGTTTAACTGAAATTTTTTTCTGTGGGCCCTAGGGCTTAAACTCAGGGACTAGGTGTTGTCCCTGAGCTTTTTTGCTCAAGGTGAATGCTCTATACCACTTGAGCCACAGCTCCAGTTCTGGTTTTTTTTTTTTTTTTTTTTGCCACTTTCCTGCCTAGGCTGGCTTCAAAACTCAGATCTCAGCCTCCTGTGTAGCTGTGTAGCTAGGATTACAGGCCTGGGACATAGGTACTCCTTCTTTATGAATCCTTTAATTTTTAGCTGATACTGAGGTTTGAACTCAAAGCTTTGTGCTTGCTTGGTATGCTTATGCCTGATGCTCTACCATTTGAGCCAAAATTCCTGTCTGGCTTTTTCCTAGCTAATTAGATATGAAGTCTCATGGACCTTCCTTTCTTCCACTGCATTCTATATTCTCTCATTCTTGCTGTCTCTTTTCTCTCCTTCTTCTTTTTTTTTTTTTTTTAAATAGGTCTGAGATGGAGACTTGATCTCTATATCTGACACTTTCGTTCATTGGTTAGCATTCTACCAAGTGAGCCATTCTTCCAATCCTTACAAGGCTGGTTTTTTTCTTTTCTCATTTTTTAGGTGGGACTCAAACTTAGTATCTTGATGTCTCAAACAAGGGTATACAGTGCTATTTTAAAAAAAGGTTTTCACGGGGCTGGGAAGGTGGCTCAGTGGTAGAGCGCTTGCCTTGCATGCCTGAGGCCCTGGATTCGATTCCTCAGCACCACATAAGCAAAAAGAAAAAACCCGGAAGTGGCTCTGTGGCTCAAGTGGTAGAGTGCTAGCCTTGAGCTGAAGAGCTGAGGGGCAGCACCCAGGCTCAGGTTTCAGGCCCACGACTGGACCCAAAATAAAAAAAGGTCTTCACTTTTTCATTTCTACCAATAGAACATTGTTTTCAATTTTTGTTACTTTATGTTTGAGAACATGCAAAAAAACATCCCTGAGTGCTACAAAGAGTCACAGAGATCTGACTCTGCCTGCACCACAGCAGCTGCTTCACAGAAGCTTCCTGCCTCAGAACCAAAATAGGAACATCAGTATCATGGAATGATCAGGAAAGCTTGTTAATCAGTTCTATGTGTGAAATGCCCAGATACCACGAATCTACTGAGAATGCATAGATGTGAACCATTTCTCCATTGTCTTACTGCATCTGGGGATGAGCAGTAATTAGGGAGAGGAAAGGCAGTGTTCCTGAAACGTTATTGTTTTATTCATTAACATTTGTTTACGTATTTTTTTCTTTTTAAAACTTGTGCAGTAACGGAACACATAAAAAGTAAAATGGTAAGACATTTTAAGTAAGTAGTCCCAAGTCTTTTAGAGGACATTAGAAATTAGAAACTTCATAACCCACTAGACCACTAAGTTAACCTGTTCACTGAAGTTTGAAAGCACCATGGTACGACTTTTTTTCAACATGAAAGGAACTGAATGAATGTTTTATTAATCATTTACCAGATGTGGGAAATACTAAAACAACTCATGACTTGACCCATTCACACTGTTAGTCATTAAAACAATAATAATGGCTTTAGAGAACCAATTTCCTTCACAAGGAAGCAAAAGTGTTCCTGCGAAGATGAACTGTTCAACTATCTTGCTTCATTGAGAAATGGCTCTATTTATAATCATATGTTTAGATTTTAAAAATTATGCATTTTAACAGAAATGCCTACCTTTTGGGAACAAACTCCACACAATCTGGCGATGAATTCATCCTTCTACTTGCTTTAACAGGTGCACAGTTCACAGAAGTTGTTCTTTCATTTGGATTATCAACTGACTTTTGATTCTCACCCAAAGTCATAGTTTCTGCCTTTGAAGTCTAATAAATGCATGAAGGAAAAGCAGTTGAGTGGAGGGTAAAATTAATTATACGTGAAATTTCATAGAAAATACTCTAAAAATATTCTTGCCTATGTATGGCAAAATATTAAATTATAGGTATTTAAATTACATGTATTTATGTGTACATTTAAAATTTTATGTATTTATTATGGCTGATGAATATTCTCTGCCAAAATGAATTTTAATGAACAACAAAGTAACAACTTTCTAGCTTTCATGAAAAGGAGAGAAAATTAACACCCAGGTCATTAGGAAACATTTTATTTCTATTAGCTTAAGTTTTACAAACTAGAAAATAACAAAACAAGGCAGGTGTTGATGGCTCATGCCTATAATCCTAGTTACTCAGAAGGACGATATCAGGATTGTGGTTCAAAGCTAGCAGGCACAGACAAATCTGACTCTTTTCACTGATTAACCAACAAAACCACCACTAGAAGTGGAACTATGGTTCAAGTACCAATCTTAAGTGAAAGAGCTAAGGGACAGTGTCCAGACCCTGGGTTCAAGCCCAAGTACTAATACTTCCGCCTCTCACCACCCTCCCACTGCCACCCCACATCAAACCCAAAACCTAAAACCAAACCAAACCAAAACATTTTAATTTAAGTTATACTTCTAATAAAGACCACATTTCTACCTAGTGAACTTGTTGAAAACTGTGGCTGAAACATTCAGTTCACACTTATAGCACTTAAAATATATGTATACATTAACCAATTTATAAGAATCTACTGGGGCTGGGAAGGTGGCTCAGTAGTAGAGCGCTTGCCTTGCATGCCTGAGGCCCTGGGTTCGATTCCTCAGCACCACATAAGCAAAAAGAAAAAAGCCGGAAGTGGCGCTGTGGCTCAAGTGGTAGAGCGCTAGCCTTGAGCTGAAGAGCTGAGGGACAGCGCCCAGGCCCAGAGTTCAGGCCCCACGACCAGACCCAAAAAAAAAAAAAAAAAAAAAAAAAAGAATCTACTGATAGCACAATAATGGATAGCATGAACAATAAAGTAGACACATTAAGGCAGAATTCTGAAATGTTATATATTCGATAAGCATATTTTATCTGAAAAATGTGTTAAAACATTGGAAGAAATAGTTATATGGTTTTATATATATGTACATGTATATATAGTATATAGTAATATACACTAAATATATAGTAAAAATATACTATTATTCTTTAAAGATTCTCTTCTTGCCTAGCAATATATTCATCTTTTATAATCCTACTTAAGAGTCACCAACCTCATGTGCTGTGTTACTGGACAATGTCTCTGGCTCCAGACAATTTATCTGATGTAATACCGTTTTAATACGTCTCTTTAACCGTGATATTTTCTCCTGGAACAAAGAAAAATTTAAATATCAAACCACAATATTAAAGAAAGAGAGGTACAGGAAAAATAATTTGCTAAAAAAAAAATCTTGTGATACTTAGGTATCTACTCAGCAGATTTCAGGTATTCAGTAGGCACACATTTTTACCTGAATATTTCAATCTATGTATATTTTTCTTTTTAAAACTTGAGTAATAATGGAACACAAAAAGTAAAATGATAAGACAAAAAGTAACTAGTCCCAAATCTTTTAGATGACATTAGAAATGAGAAACTTCATAACCCACTAGACAACTAAGTTAACCTGTTCACTGCAATTTGAAAGCACCATGGTACTACTTTCTTTCACCATGAAATTCACACACAACTGCAGAATCCAGATATGGAGAGTTGATGACATTAAAAAAAAAAAAAGACTCAAATTGGATTTTTGTGCTTGCAAGATACTCAAGAGTGGAAGAGACTGGGATTTCATGTCCACAAAAAGGAGGCAGAAGAGGATCAAGAGTTCAAGGCCAGGGCTGGGAAGGTGGCTCAGTGGTAGAGGGCTTGCCTTGCATGCCAGAGGCCCTGGGTTCGATTCCTCAGCACCACATAAGCAAAAAGAAAAAAACCGGATGTGGCGCTATGGCTCAAGTGGTAGAGCGCTGGCCTAAAGCTGAAGAGCTGAGGGACAGCGCCCAGGCCCAGAGTTCAGGCCCCATGACCACACCCCAAAAAACAAACAAACAAAAAAAAAGAGTTCAAGGCCAGCTGGGTACCTGTGGCTCACACCTATAATCCTAGCTACTCCGGAGGAGGCTGAGATATGAGGATCAAAGCTCAAAACCAGCCGGGGTAGGAAAGTCTGTGAGACTCTTATAAACCACCAGAAACCGGGAAGTGGCACTGTGGCTCAAGTGGTAAAGGGCTGGCCTTGAGCTGAAGAGCTAAGGGACAGTGCCCAGGTCCAGAGTTCAAGCCCCATGACTGACCAAAAAAAAAAAAGAAAAAAAGAGTTCAAGGCCATCCTGGATACATAATGAAAGATTCTGGGGCTCAAACTCAGGGCCTAGGTGCTGTTTTCTTTAGCTCTTTCAAGCAAGGCAAGTAATCTACCACTTGATTCATGCCCCCACTTCTGGCTTTTTGGTGGAATTTCATGGGGGGATTTTCTGCCTGTCCTCAGATCTTAGCCCCCAGAGTAGCTAGGATTACAGGTGTGACACAGCAGTGCATGGCTGTGAAAAACTTTTAACACAAATCAGCAAGTAACCCCAGAAGAGTAAAATAAAAAAATTTCCTAGAGCATTTATAACAAGTTACTGACGCCCTAATAAAAGATATATTAAAATTGAAAAGAAACTACCAACTAGGCTGAGCTCATCAATTGATGTAGAATTCTTAATAGTTCTAAGAGTATATTTCTCAAGAGACAATAATAAACTCTATTCTCAATGCAAACTTAAATAAGTCCTATGCCCACGAATCAAATTTGGAAGTTCCTTTAATTACTTGTCCTTCATAAGACATTACCAAATTCTACTTTTATTGGGATCCAAGCGGTGCTAAGGATCGGATTCAGGGTTTTGTGCAATTCAGGCAAGCACTGTAATACTGAGCTATATCTCAGATCCCAAATTCATGTTTTAAAACAAAATTAGAGACTTACGAAGAGTTGAACAGCTAGTGCTTCATGTTTACTCTTGCACTGTGTCTTCCCAATTCGGTCATTCAATTCATTCAGTTTGCTATCAAATAGTTTGTAATCTATACTATGTACCTCCTGTCGAATCACATGTCTGACCTAGAATTATTAAAAACAAAACACAAAACACTTCCAGGTTTCTGTTTTAAGAGCAATTTTATTCCCTACTTTTAAAAATAGCTGTCATTATTTACCATAGCTAAGATATGGAACCAACCCAGATGCTCCTCAGTAGATGAATGGATCAAGAAAATGTGGTATATATACACAGTGGAATTGTATGCCTCCATCAGAAAGAATGACATTGCCCCATTTGTTACGAAATGGAAAGACTTGGAAAAAAGTATATTAAGTAAGCCAGGCCCAAAAAAACATAGGTCCCATAGTTTCCCTTGTTTGCAATAACTAGTATATATCTGAGAAAAGCAGAAATGGTCAGATAAGTTGATGTTAGGCAAAATGAAGCCCAAGATAAGGACTCAAATGTTTTTTCATTCTTGCTATTGTTTCTAACATATTTATGATTTTTTTGTTGCTTTGTATGTCCCTCCCCCACGGTATAACCCCTGTTCTCACTGTATTTGATATAGATATAATTTGTGGAGGGGAAGGTAGACCCATTGCAACAATGAGATATACAAGACATTATGTCAAAAAACGAATTGGGGGTGGGAGATGGGAAGGGACAGTAAGGGGAAACAAAGGAGGAGGCAACAATGCTTGATAAGAAATGTACTCATGGGGCTGGGAAGGTGGCTCAGTGGTAGAGTGCTTGCCTTGCATGCACGAGGCCTTGGGTTCGATTCCTCAGCACCACATAAGCAAAAAAAAAAAAAAATGCCAGAAGTGGCGCTGTGGCTCAAGTGGTAGAGCACTAGCCTTGAGCTGAAGAGCTGAGGGACAGTGCCCAGGCCCAGAGTTCAGGCCCCACGACCGGACCCCCCCCCCCCAAAAAAAAGAAATGTACTCATTACCTTGCCCATGTAATTGTAACCCCTCTGTACAGTATTTTCACAATAAAAATAAATTTAATAAAAATAGCTGTTTCTTCTGAATTTACTATAATGAAAAATTGCACGTTACTTTTATGTCTGTATTTATTTATATTACTATATATCATCAAGTTTTGGAAAATGAGAAAATCAATAGAACACACCCAATATTTATATAGACAAGTTACAAATGAAATTTATTTTGATTGATTTAGCTTTTTAATATCCTAATTGTTCCATAATATATCACACATAACTATGAGATTATATTACATGTCTCTCTTTTAATGACCATAATTGAAAGCTAGTATTTCATTAAAAAAGAAAGAGCTCTCCTATGAAAAACAGAGCCCAGCACAAATGTTGGATGATCTACAGTTAAAGAGATCACACAATTTGAGACCTACCATCAACAAACTACATGGTCTTTGAGAAGTTACAATTCAGGTTTTTGCCCTTGTCTACTGATTGGTAGAGGATCAATAAATGTTTGCTGCATGATGATAGCTAAGTTCTTTGCCAGTTGTAGGGCTTGAACTCTGAGCCTGGGGACTGTCCCTGGACTTTGGTTTTTGTTTTTTAGTTTAAGAGATAAGACTCTCAGACTTTCTTGCACCTGCTGGCTTCAAGCTGTGATCCTCAGATCTTAGCCTCCTGAGTAGTTAGCATTACAGGTGTGAGCCACAAGCTTATAATTTTTTTTAATAACAAATAAGGTAATAATGAGACTGTTGCATAAAAAACTAATGTTCTAATTCCATTAGTCATCTGTACTATGTCACTATAAAAAAATTAGCCAACTTCTCATATTTTTTACTTATCAAAACCAAGTATCTGAAGCACGTATTTAAGCCCCATCAATTTACCAGTTCTAGTATTGCGGTCTGCTTATCCAGAGCTACACAATTATTTCCATTAATTGGCTCTGAAGTTTTCATGCGTTTAACATTTTCTTTGTTTTCTGAAAACATCCTCTTCTTTTGATTATGGCCTGGAGGAGATAAAGATCAGCAATAAGATTCCTTCTAAAGAAGGAAATAGGAATTCTCTTAATTTATGGTCCCATTAAGTAAAAAGATAAGCCAAATAAATGACCGTAACATTTTCATTTAAAAAAAAAAAAGAAGAATGTATCTACATAAAAACAACTCTACAAACTACTTGTTTTTTAAGTGGGAGCTAACTTGGGGATAGCTCTGGTGGCAGATATACTCCTTCCATAATTTTTACATAAAGCCGGGCGCTGGTGGCTCACGCCTGTAATCCTACTCAGGAGGCTGAGATCGGAAGATCATGGTTCAAAGCCAGCCTGGGCAGGAAAGACCGTGAGACTCCTATCTCCAATAAACCACTAGAAAACCGGAAGTGGAGCTGTAGCTCAAGTGGTAAAGCGCTTGCCTTGAGATGAAGAGCTGAGGGACAGCACCCAGGCCCAGAGTTCAAGCCCCACATCTGACAAAAATAATAATAATTTTTACATAATATATAACAGCTGAATGCGGTGATGTAGAGGCAGATGCAGGAGGACTAAGATTACAGAGATCCTTTCAAAAAAGGAAAAGCAAATCAAAAGAAAAAAGACACAACCAATAAATCCTCTACTTTAGTATTCTTATAAACAGTTACTTAGGCCAACATATTCTTAGTAAGTGATCTTATTTTTAAGGAATTTGAAATTTATGTTATCAAATGACTACTTTGTAAACTAAACAAAAATCCTATGAATTTGATATTTTCTACATCAAGGGTCAGGGACCTATTTACCATGGGCCATTTAGATACTTATAACATCATCTGAGGACTATACAAAATTCTCCCTACAGGCAAATGAGCCTTGAGTATCCAGTGAGAAACACTGATGTCTTTCCTATCAACCAAATGATTTTGAGGGCCTCATCTGTTAAATCCACTTCAATAACAAATGTAAATACCTTACTACTTTAATGAGATTTACCACTGAAGTGGTAAGAGTACCAGCCTCGAATGAAAAAGCCAAATGAGTGTGTCCAGGCCCTGAGTTCAAGCCCTAGACTCCAACCCCCACCACACACCACCACCAATACCACTACTCCCACCCACCACCACCGCCACCAGCAACAAAGTCCACAAACAAAATACTTTTAGGTGATTGTCATCTTTTACTGTCCTGTGGTACATTCCTTACTTGTATATTTGAGCTTCAAAATTTCTCAAAGGAAATTGACTTTTAATTTCACCAACAGATTCAAATGTAAATACTTACTGTTAATACAAACAGTGTCAAGTGATGAGTCTGCAGGCTTACAATTTGAAATGTTGACAGTATGGGGTCTACAGGGTTCTTCAGTCTTCGAATTGGAAGCAGCATAGTTGCTGGTGCTGACTGAACTGACCAGGTTAGGTGTTTTCTCAGCTGGCACAAAACAGGAATCTACACTTAAAATGCCATTTTGCCTTTTCTCATGAGACTCTGAATTGGAGTTTCTTTTTAAATTGGAAATCATTTTATCATTTCTCTCATTATCCAAGGTGTTTTGAACTATACCACTCAATACAGCAGGAAGACAGCAAGTAGGTTTATTATAATTCTCTTCATATTCAAAAATGGATTTTGTTCCATTTGCCTGGTCTTTACAATGAGTTTTGTGTGTTTTCTGTGAAGGTTTTGTCTCCTGTACAGATAATTTGCTGAGGGAATCTATTGCTTTTCTTGGCTTTTGATAAAGACATGTGACTTGGGCAGCAACACTTTCCAATCTTGTTTTTGAATCAATAATTTCTTCTAGTGGTTGTATATTCTTAGGGTGCACATTTTTCTGTGAAAATACTAGTTTTTTGTTAGACTCCAGTGAGAAACTACCATGTTCAGAATGCCTGTATTTGCTATTTATAACCACAGTACTTAAATTCTCATTACCAGTTGGACTATTATTCCCCATAGTTTTCTTCAGAGTGTCAACATTTCTTGACTTATTCAGGACCTCTATTTGCTTCCGGCAACTTACAGGCATTGTTTTTTTTGCTTTTAATATCTTCTGTTTAATTTTACCTGGACTTGCCATCTTCATATCCTAAAATTTAAGATATGGCATTTAAATGTATTTCTTCACTGAATCAAAATTATTCATTGACAGGTGGGCATGAATGGTTCATGCCTGTAATCCAAGCTACTCATGAGGCTGAGATCTGAGACAGTTTGGGCAAAAAAGTCTGTGAGGCTCTTATTATCAATTAGCAAAAAAAAAAAAAGATTAAGTTTCATATGTTCATAATGTACTCTGTATATCATTACATTTTTCTACAAACAGTAGCTCCTTTTTCTCAAGCTTTCTTAAGGCCAAATTTCCAAAATTAGTGGTAGTACAGGAGGAATTACCACTAGTCAGGAATAAGAAAGCATGAAGATTCACAAGATATCAGGTCAAAGAGAATGCCAATTTAATAATATGTAAGTCTCAAAATCTTTAATGAACATAAGACAGATCCTAAAACTTAAGATGTCAATAAACTACCCAAAACCACCCGAATAACTTTTTCATTTCATACTTCAAGCTTTTGTATATTTTTTATTTTAAAAGAATCACTAGATAAGGAACATTTACAAGATTTGTCAAGATCCTAAGGTTGAGATGACTAGACAAAATAAGTAAATACAAGAAATCATATTAAAAAATCCTGACAAGTGCTCAAGTTTGGTAGCTCATGCCTGTAATCTCAACTACTTGACAGGAAGAGATTGGGAGGCCTAAACCAAAGGAACTGAGGTTGTGTCTCTCAAATACAGCACCAAGCACAGAGCCTGAGTTCAAACTCTCAATACTACCATAGGACCTGACATGTAGAAATGCCATAAAACCAAATAGTACCAACGAATATTCTAATCTACCTACAGAAGTCAATTTTTCCTATATGACTACATTGTGTCTTCAAGAAATTCTTTATTTCCCAGAAAGAAAACAGATGAGCATGGCTGAAAGATGTATGTGTCTCTATATATACACTTATGTAAGCATACATAATAATACATTCATCAACTTTTTTTTCTTTTTGGTGTTATGGGGCTTGAACTTAGGGCCTGGGCACTGTTCCTGACCTTTTTTGCTCAAGGCACTTTGAGCCATAGTGCTACTTCTGGTTTTCTGATAGTTGATTGGAGGTAAGAGTCTCATGGACTTTTCTGCCTGGGCTGGCTTTGAACTGTGATTCTCAAATCTCAGCCTCCTAAATAGCTAGGACTACAGGCGTGTGCCCCACACCTGGCAACTTTGTCTTTTAATTCAGGGAATCAAAAGCAGACCCTTGACAAGGTATGAAAGCTCTCTATCAGTAAGCTACTCCCCCATACTCCATTTTTTTTTTCTTTTTCACAGGTACAGAAATAGCTGGGATAATACCAATCATGCCTGGCTTAATTGGCTACTAAGATACTCCTAGACTAATAGTGTTATATCTTGACAAACCTCTTGTAAATACAAAACATATACTTTGTTCTCTACTATATTGACCATGGACAGACATGACTGGGTTGAAAACCAACCTTGCATTCCTACAATTAATCTCATTTCATGTGATGATACAAAAATCCCTCCTCTATACTTCTGTTCTCAAATTGCTAATATTTTGCTTAGCATTTTCCCCTCTAGAATCATGAGGGATTGCTCTGAAATTTCATTTCTTGTGACGTCTCCTTTTGGTATCATGATAAAACTGGCCTCAAGTATGATTTGTGAATTGTTCCTTCTGCTTCTTGGACAAATTTGTGTATTGGTACCTTGAAATGTATAACAGAAGCTGGATATGGTGGTAGACACCTATAATCCCAACACTTGGGAATTTGAGATGAGTTTTTCATGAGGTCAAGGCCAGCCTGGACTTTATAGTGGACTATGGTATTTTCCTGCAATGTCTTTCTTATGGAAAAATACTGTCACCAGTATACTGTGTATTCTGCCAGGTATGGTTATTAGTACCATGACCTCAGCACTTGGAATGCTAAGAAATTTGAATTTCAGGCCAGACTGTACTACAGAGAAACCATTTCTCAAAAAGAGAAACACAAATGAGATCTTGTCTCCAACAAAAATTGTTCATTCTGCTGGTGATGGGCTGAGTGTTGACAAGATGTCACTCCTAAGTCTAGTTGAAGTGTTTTTTGAGTCTTGTGATTTTTGTGCTAATCTGGCTAGTTTTTACCAACTGTGAAACTAGTGTATCATCAGTCAATTGTATTTCCTCCTTCAATTCTGTCAGTGCTTCCCTTATATACTTAGTTGTGGTCACTAAAAGTTTATGGGGAGTTGATTTTTTTTTTGCCAGTCCTAGGGCTTGAACTCAGGGCCTGGGCACTGTCTCTGAGCTTCTTTTGCTCAAGGATAGCACTCTACCACTTGAGCCACAGTGCCACTTCCAGCCTTTTCTGTTTATGTGGTACTGAAGAATTGAACCCAGGGCTTCATGCATATTAGGCAGGCACTCTACCACTAAGCCACTTTCCCAGCCCAAGACGGGTGTGAGTGAGTGTGTGTGTGTGGGGGGGGGGTTCCATTATAAAAGGTATCTCTTTATATCTTTAACAATACCTTTTATTTTAGCTAATTTTGTCTGATATTAGTATGGCCACTCTAGATTTGTTACTGTTTTTCTATGAGTTTATGTTTATCTTTTGCATCTCTGAACTTAAAATGCTCCCATTAAACAGTATTTAGAAGGATGTTGGTGTTACTTCTGGTCTGATGATTTCAGGTACCTTATTAGATCCAGTCACATTTGGTATCATTATTAAAAGCTGGATTTCTCTCTCCAATTATACTTTGCTCAATGTCTCATTCCTTTTCCTGTATACTTTAATTGCCCTAGGGATTAGGGGTGTGTGTGTGTGTGCATGCACACACACATACATACATAAAAACTCCGGGCATAAAAACTCAAGGCCTGCTGCTCTTGCTGGGTGTGGCTTGCTTTCCTACACTAGGAACACCTTCACTTCTGTTTTTTTTTCCCACAGATTATTAGAAATGGGTCTCAGATTTGTTTATCGAGGCTTGACACTGAACCTTATTCTAAGATGTATTAATACATGCATATGTATGTACAATATAGAATTTTAAGTAGCTGTAGAAAAGTTTCAGTTCAACAAGGTAGATTATAAGCACAATGCATCTTTATCAATGTCAGCCCTTCCACTGTTCTCCCCTATCCTTTCCCATTCCCATTCATATGGCTCCCTTCTTTTTTTTTGTCATCATGGGACCTGAACTCTAGGCCTGGCCACTGTCCCTCTGGCGCTCTTCAGCTCAAGGCAAGCACCCTACCACTTGAGCCATAATGCCACTTCCAGGTTTTTCTGCTTATGTGGTGCTGAGGAATCGAACCTAGGGCCTCATGCATGCAAGTCAAGCACTCTACCACTGAGCCACCTTCCCAGCCCTATAGCTCCACACACACACACACACACACACACACACACACACACACACACACACACACACACACACACACACACACACACACACACACACACACACACACACACACACACACACACACACACCCATTGACTATAATGACTGTATTCACCCTTACTTCTCTATTCATCTGCCTCTATTCCCCTTGACATCCCCCCCTTCCCGACAAAACATGTTTCAGCTTTCCGGTAGTCATTTGTTAAAGTGCTCATTAGTTGTTTAAGGAGTTACATCATTACAGTCCTCCTCTAGCATTCCTCACTCTGTGTATAGCCCTGTTTATGATTTCACGTTTATAATTTGCATCTAACTTCCACATAAGGAGACAATATGTGTTGTTTATCTCTCTAATCCTGAGTTATTTCACTTAAGGAATAAATTTCAAGAGGTATGCCAGTTGCCAAGTCTGAACAAATACAAACCAATTAAATAGACTCATATTGAAGCAATAATAGTCTCCCAACAAAGTCTGTCTCCATGGATTCACAGCTGACTTCTGTAAGAACTTTAAAGAAACTTTTCCATAAAATAGAAAGGAAGTCACTACCAAACATTCTATGAAGCCAGTATTACACAACCCCAAAACCAGACAGGGACCCAACCAAGAGAGAATTATAGACCAATCTTTTCCATGTAACATAGAGCCAAATCTCCTACATAAAATACTTGCTAACCAAATTCAACAATTAAAAAATCATTCACTAGTATCAGGTTGCTTTTATCACAGAGATCCATGGCTGGTTTAATACACTTAAAAGTAACAGCACATTGTATTAGATTCTTTGCATTAGATTCTTTTTTAATGGTGTTAAATGGTGTCATTTTTAAACCTGATTCAATTACATTAAAATTTAATTTTTTGGTTTTGTTTTCCTTCTTGGTATTTGAGGTTTGAATTTAGGGCCTCATTTTTGCTACCATCTGAGATTTGAGCTACAGGCCTTTTTAAAGTCATTTTTTGGATAAATGCTCATGTTTGCTTGGAGCATGATCTAATTTTACACTTCAGCAAAGCTGGGGTATATAGCAAAGAAGACAGAGACAGTCCACAAGGTGTGGCTACTGGTTAAGATTGGGTCTCAGAATCTTTTTGCTAAAAAGTGCTCTTCAAGATATACATGACTCCCAAGTAGCAGAGATTAGGAATAGGAGATACTCAGGTCAAAGCAATTGTTTAAAATGTTTACACCTTCAACTAATTAATGAAGTCTAATAGTTCTTCAGGATAGTCTACCTAGGTAATTGTGTCACAATTGCTTTCTTGCCAATCCTGTTTCTTTTTCTGGTCTTAATGCCTTTACTGGAAACTCCAGTATCAGGGCTTTATCTTTTCTATATCTGAGAAAAGCACATATTTCCACTTTGTTTTCTCTGTTTGTATTGGGCATTAAACTCACCTCCTAACATTTTTTGCTCAGCTTTTGTGCTCATGGCTGGTGATCTACCACTTGAACCATATTTCTAGTATAGCTTTTTGTTTGGAAATTTTCTAGTAATGTTAAAATTCTATGCATTTGGCCTTTTCTTATACCTAGTCTAAAAATACTAAATAGAAAATCCCAGAAGTAAATGATACACGTTTTTTTTTTTGTGTGCCAGCACTGGGA